GAACGAGAGATCAATTAAATCAATATATTCCTTAGATTTTATATTGTTTGAAATCGTCGAATGTAGTTGCAGAATTGAAAGTCCGATTAAAAGAAATTTGATTTTTTTCTTGAAACATGTTAAAAACAAGTTAACGACTTCGCTTTGCCCTTCAAACTTATTTTTTCTTGTCTCGCAAACTCTTTCTCTTTCTTTTTGCTACTCTCTCAGAGAGTATTCTAAACGTCGACACAAGGCCGTATCGACTTACTCCGACTTTCCTTCTATACGCGAGCCTCGCTCGATTATCAAAAATAAAACCACGTTTTAAAGTGTATGTGTGTGCATTTATTTATGTGGTTAGTCATAGTCCTCCTCGTCTTTTTTTTCGTCATTGTCAATGTCTGTAAAATTTCTCTCACGTATTTTTTAAATTCAAATTAAAACATTCATAACGCGAGCAAGTATTCAATTAATTTACACCGGCCACGTTAAATGTAGTATCGATCATAATCTCCAATTGTCATTTTATTTTTTCTTTCTTTTATATGTAATTATTTAACAAATAAAATCAAATCTGTTTCCTTAATTTCGTCTCTTTTTTGTTAATCGTTCTACGTGTACGTGTGCGCGTATGTTAATGTGTTTTTGTTTGTTAATTAATTATTGCTAAATAAAATGAGAAACAACGAAACTCCGATAATTCTCTCGCGTAGTCACTCGTATTAACTAATTCTTTTTTTAAAGCTTTTGATGCAAAGTTGGACTTGATTTCTTCGTAAAGCTTAAAAACCTCTTCACAAAGAAACAAAGAGACTTAGTCGTTTGGTTATCGCTTTCGTTTCCACGCTTTTGGTTTCCTCTTCAAAATATATGTGTATGTACACATGCATATATTCATCCATATACACGTACACATATATTTCTGTTACCACCTTTTCTCCTCCATCTACTCATCCTCCTTCTAACCGCATAAAAATTCTTTACCGCAGATGACATGCTTTTATTTGTGCACGTAAAATCTATGGGTGTGTGACTTGCTCCTTTTGTTGTTGTTGTTAATGTTGTTTCCTTTGTTAATCATATAAATAAACCCCTTTGAACTCGGATTCTCGCCGATGCATACAATAAATGTAGATGACACATCCCAGTGCAAAGGGTTCATTCTAATATCGTGTGTACATGTATGTATATGTGTATGTGGTGTGAGAGTTTATCTTCTACTCGCTTGAAGAAATAAATTTAACTACACTTTCTTTTTTTTTCTTTTTTTTATGGTATCAAATATTTATGCAGATTGAACGGATTGATTGATAATGTTCAATGTAACACGTTGCTAAGAAAATCAGGACGCGTTATAAAAAAAAATTAACTTCAAGGATACCTTATATATATATATATATATAACAGGTTCGCTAGGAAATGAGTATTTGAAGCATAAGAGAATCTTCTTCTAATCCTGATCCGTCTAATTTATCAGAGAATCAGGGAGCGTTTCTTTTAAAGCTTTGAAACATTCGACGTATATTTTATATTATATCTATGGGATTTTGTATTTATTTCATTATTTTTTCTTTTGATTAAAATCAAACGTTTCATCAGGTGCGCGCTAATGAATTTTTAATTAAGTTTCCCTAAGCTTCAAATAATCATCACGTATGCAAGAATGGCAGTATCCTTGACGTTACTGCTACGATCGGCTCGACGAAAATTCTGATGCAATTAAGTATATTTAAAGTAAATGAGATGATAAAAAAAGAAATTTAAAAAATAAAATTTAAATAATATTATCCTTCGTAGAAATGAATCGTCTTATCGAGATTAGATGAAAATCTTTACACCGTTCTCGGAATTCTGGAAGCTACTTCGAAAATGCTCTGGTAATTAATCTTCAATCTTATCTTGTACAATAAAAGAGAGATACAATCGGCAATAATAACTAATTAAATTGCTTCGTGTAACATTAAAAAAATAAAATAAAATAAAAAAGAAATAATAATTTAAAAAAAGCCAGAACCTCTTCGCAACAATCGTATATAATCGCATATTCGAATATGAATGAATTCGAATAATAAATATACACCATTTTCGAAGTCTCAGTGCACAATTGTCGTCGATTGATCAATTGCATTATTTTAATCTTATCTTCGAACATCGCACACAAACACATCAACCGCATCTTCATTTACTCGATAATTAAATCACAGACAGTGTAATGACGATGATTAACAATAAATCGTTAATTAGCATAATGTGTGTGTATGTATATATAATTAGGGATAAATAAAACTTATTGTACAAATGAAAATTATTATACGTATTATATATATATACATATATAATACGTATACATGTAACAAAAAAACACTGTAATATTTTTTTTCTTTTCCTTTTCTTTTTTTCCGGTAGAGACGCGTGTGAATGTACAAGTGTGTTTTTTTTTTATTGGGCATAAACTCTCGTTACCCGAATGATTGATTGTTAACTGCAGGACTAACCTTTAACAAAATTTCCTCGTTCATGTTTCTCCTAGTTAATAGGACAACAGCTGGTCAGCTATAGGAAGTATCTTTCTATTACTTCTTTCACTTATCTCACACTTTCCTATTCTTCTTTTTTTGGTCATCCTATGAACTTGCAGTTGTAGCTGAAATCGTTGGTAGGAGCTTCAAATCTATAATTTTGTTAATAAATATTTTTAAATGACAAAATAGACATTTTTTCTTCTTATAATTACCAGTAAACTAAATCGCGTTTAGCTGTTGGTGATTTTGTTGAAATAGTAAAGTTTCTTCGAATATATACTCCTTTAAAGTCTCTTTTGGAAGATCATCCAACTCCATGTCAAATCTAAATGGCTCCTCTGCGACAGGCTAATGGAAATACATAATCTCATTAATTTCGTTATAATATTCTAATTATGAAATTAATCAATGCGAATGAAAATAAAATATTCACCTCATCAGATGGATCATAGTACTGTTCCAAATACGGATGTGCCAATGCTTCGTCCACTGCGATCCGTTTATCAGGATTGAATGTAAGCATTTTATCCAACAAATCTAAAGCTCTTGGATCAGCCTTTGGGAACAAACTTGTCCATGGTACCTTTGGCTTGAAAGGTAATGATTCAAGATAATTGCGTGCCTGTAATTATAAAATTTACTATTGAATAAAAAAGAATGCATAAGAAATGCAACAAGAGGGAGAACATATTTTCCATTACTTTCTCGTTTATGACACAATCTAAATCATCTTTAGATGGAGATCCAATTACACCAAGGATATGATTAAGCTGATCCAAGTAATGTTTACCGGGAAATATCGCTCTTCTGGATAACATTTCAGCAAGGATACAACCTACCGACCAAATATCTATAGATTTTGTATATCCCTGTAAATAAAAAGAAAATTTAATATAGAAAAATATAAACACATCAAAGATAATATTTATTCTTTTAATTTATTGTATTCATTTACCTTTGAATTGAGCATTATCTCTGGAGCTCTATACCATCTGGTAGCGACATACTCTGTAAGGAAGCCAGCATGATTGTGCTCCGGATCTGCCACTCTGGCCAAACCAAAGTCACAAATTTTAAGGTCACAGGTGGTATTCAAAAGTAAATTGCTTGGTTTGAGATCTCTATGCAAGACGTTTGCAGAATGAATGTACTTTAACCCTCGAAGTATTTGATAGAGAAAATAACATACGTGATCATTGCTAATAGCCTGAAAGTAACAACGCATGTTTAATATCAATCTTACATTATTTATATGTTATTCCTTCTTCGCTTATATAATAAACACTCACTTGCGTTTTAAGAAGCTTATACAAATCAGTTTCCATCAGACACTGAACAATATACACATCTTTCATTTGCTCTATGGTAGGTGCTCTTAATATATTTCTTATATCTATTATCTGTGAAATCAAATGAAGAGAGCGTTAAGTTATTGTCAGAATTCTAAATGAATGATTTTTGTTTACCGCAGGAAACAGAATAAATATGAAATGTTGTCTCTTCGAACTTACATTCTCATGTTTAAACCTTGTCAAAATTTTAATTTCTCTTAATGTTCTTTGGCTGTAAGTTTGATGTTCGAAGGGAGAAATTTTCTTAATAGCTACTTTTGTTTTTGTTACATTATCGTAAGCGGATCTGCAAAGAGAATATTATATTTTTGTAATAAAAAGAAAGTTAATTCAATAAGTTAAAAATAAAAAATGTATTAAAATGAAATAATAAAGCAATGAGAATGGTTATATTAATCTATCTTCTATAGTTCTTTAACTTGGGATCTCAAATAGATTATATTGTTTTCGATTACACGGTGTTTTCCAATCTCCACAAATAGCACATTGTAATCTTCCTATATATATATATATATATATATATATATATATATATATATATGTATGCGTGTATGTATGTGTGTAGGATAATAAAAATGATTAGTGATCCGATAAACAATTCAAACAAAAACGATTATCTTTTTTATCGCTTTGTGTCGCGTAACCTCGAGTAATATTAGTGGTAAGAATAAAGGGGTGTGACGTGAATTTAAAAGTCGCGCCAAAAAGTAACAATAAGCGCCGACAAAAAGCACGTAATTACGATGGAAAATAAATATTCCTATGCTTTTAAATCTCGTTCGATAATATAAATGCAAACAAACGATTAATACAATACGTAATTTATCCAACAATCTGATTTAAAATTGTTTATCTCGTAGTCTGTCACGCAGAGTGGACGTATCGACGAAACTCAACACAAATGACAGCAAATTACGAAGGATGACACTTACACGACCATTCCATATGCACCCTCGCCCATATACGATAAATTTGTGTAACGCGGACCAACTTCAAACATGTGACCGCGAACAATTTCACAATTTGGATTCACGGCCGTAGAACCTTCACCCGCCATTTTGACAACTACTTTAAGGTTCTGCCGACGTTTGGAGAAGAGCCCCGAGCGACTCCACAAACTCATATATATTATACTATTACATATTCCGAGCTCTCACGAACTTACCCGAATAGAGACGACCGCGATTTTACGACTCAATTCGTGTGTTCGAAAATTTTACAATGTATTTTCATAAGATTCTAAAATATTATTATCATTACAATTTAATGTGTTTTAATAGAATTTCCTATGTAATCCTTGGTTTTATTTAATATTAAACTATGTGCATTTATGAAAAATATATAATCATATTAGTTATTGCATGTCAATCGATATTCGTCGTGTAGTACGAAACACTCAATGATACACGTAGTACTCATTTCAAATGAGGTGTTGTAGGTGTTAGCGTTATTACCTTGTTTTGTTAATAGCGAAGTGAAAAAAATATATTAATATACAACAAAAAGATACAGTTCTTTTAAAAATTTAATATAAACATGAATGCGCCACCAACCTTTGAATCATTCTTACTCTACGAGGGAGAGAAAAAGTAAGAAACAAATATTTATCTAAATCTAACCTCAAAAAATTCTATCTTTTGGTATTTTTAATTAAAAGGATAATAAAGGAGCAGGATACTAAGGTACCAAATGCAGCAATTTTCACAGTGAACAAAGAAGATCATACTCTTGGAAATATGATTAGAAAGTATGTTATCTCTTTTATAATATTATATCCTAATTGTACCTTATACACTCTTGTTTTGATTTGATAAAATATAACATAATTTTTGTATTTATTTTAGCCAACTATTAAAAGATCCTCAAGTTTTGTTCGCTGGTTACAAAGTACCTCATCCATTGGAACATAAGTTTGTAATTAGGATACAAACAACGTCAGATTATACACCACACGAAGCTTTTATGCACGCAATAACTGATCTCATAGCTGAATTGTCATTATTTGAAGAACGTTTTAAAGTAGTTATTTTGAAACATATAATTGCATTCTAATAAAAAAACACTACACATAACAGTTTTTTATTTTTCATTTCAGGAGGCGATAAAAGAAAAAAAGGAAGGATTAGATTAACGAATTGGAAACTCATTATAGGTATTTACCAATTAATATAAATATACATATGAATATGCATCAGTAATCGTTCAATTTGGGTTAAATTAACTTTTAACTATTCAATTGACTGCTCAGCCTAATTGTTTGCCCAAAATGGATAATAAATTACGACAAATTTTCTATGATATTTATCTCTAATAAAATATACACTATTATACATAATTTGAAAAAATTGTATTCTTGAATATTTACTGCATTTCTGTATCAATTTTATTTCATCATTTTTTTTTTTACAAAGTACTTCCTTCGATTTATTTTTACACAAATTTTTTATGGCAAGTTTATAAATAGATATATATATATATATAGAATGACAATAGTCCAAGATAATAATTGTTTCTTTTTTCTCTCTTTTATACTGGAGTATTCAATTTTTACGAGATTTAAATAACAGTTAAATTGTTAAAACAATTATCAACAAGAAAAAGACTGGATAATCAACAGTGGAATACCTTCATATTTGTCAGGTACAAAAAAGCAACAAGCAAATTATGTGAATGGATAAAAGAATATCTTTTCCTAACATTATAAATTAATTTGTATAACCAAGAAATTATTAACGCGTTAACTTATACAACCAATATCAACTTTTATCCTAGGACTAACATATCATATAAATAATCTATGAAAATAAAATATATTTCATAGCAAATATATACGCTGTATACTTGAAAGTATACAGTGTATTATTAGAAACGAAATAACTGTGTGTGCCAAATATAAATACCTATATAGAAAGAGAGGAACTACTTATTAAGAGTATTGCGCACATTTTGTGCGTAATAAATATTAAATAGGAGATGCATCGATTGATAATATAAATACTTATGTACATAATTACAATTGTGGTTTTTTTCGTATTCAACTAATATGAATTATTTAATAGATCTGCTAGTAGACAACCCTGTCTATTTTTTCCCTTCAGGACCACCACTGTTAACATGTCTTTAAATAAGATTTTATCATGCCCCGGTAATTAACAATTGAATCAATGTAAATAGAAAATAAATAGCTGCTCATTTTCGCAAATCTAAATACATTGTGCTTGTGACAGCATGGATAGGAAGATGCATTTTCTTGCTTTTTTTTCTTTTCTTTTTCTTTCTATACAAAATGCCTCAACTTATGCAGAAATATTAATCCTACGCGAAGGAAGACATGCTCACATATTAGGACCTGATTGTATTTCTCTGATACAAAAATATACTCTGCAAACTTTAACAAATTTCTTTATATAATTAGGATTTCTGGCAAGCATTGTAAATAGGACTACAGATAACAATACGACGTTAATATGTTTCTGTATCATCGCAATCACGTGTATCGTGTCCGAAGGCTGTAAAACAATTAACATGTGAAATTATTAGCACTTATCATTTTTTTCTAGGATAACATTTGTGTCAGGATTTCTTTTTTAATACACTAGACATGCATTATTTGATTTGAAGGCAAATTTAAACAAACAAAAGAAAAAATAGTAAAGAGTAAAATAGTATTCTTACTTTCGCAATTTTCACAATACGGTCTCTCCAAAGATGATTTCTTCGGAGATTTAATGATTTTCTCCGGCTCGGTAAAATCTTGAGCTTGACGCGGACAATCCTCTGTTTCGTGTAAATCAAATTGATCGCAAATATCACAGAACATACGAGGTGCTTTATTTCGTTTGTCTAGGGTGGTCCTATAACAATTTCTTTTTTATGTAATTGCATTTACATTTATTAGTCTAAATCAATAAAAGTATACAAACCGATTATAATCATCTGCTTCATTTGCGGGTACACCCATTTCTAAAACTTCTATTTTACACAACAGAGTTTCATTTTTTCTCTGCATATCCACTATTACAGAGTTTAGGAAATCAATTTGGCCTTTAACTAATTCGTTTTCTTCTTTCAATCTTATCACCTCGATATCTTTATCTGTTAAATTAAATAAAATTATAATGTTAATAATTATGAAAATAGTATTATAATTAATTATTATAAGTAATAGAGAGTAATATACCCATTTGTTGATTCACGTCACCACCAGCTGCCTAAAATGTATCATTTCTATATTATTATTTCATAAAATACAAATATTACAATAACACGAGAGATTAATTAATTTTCAAAAGAAAAAGAAAAACTAGAAACCTACATCGAAATTATTTTTTATGCTTTCGCGTGATAATTTCAATTGATTCGTAGCCTCAGATAATTTTGAAGCAATCTGTTTATTTTCCTTCTCCCTGGAAAAAGAAGATAGAAATGAAAAAATTATAATTTAAAAAAAGAATTCAAAAAGAAAAAATGGGAAAGAAAAATATAATTTGTTTAGTACATACAGACGACTGTGTACTTCTTTCAATTGGGCTGCTTCCGTCGTAACAATATTTAATTTTTCAATGAGATTTTGCGTATTTTTCTCCGCTTCTTTCTCTTTACTTTTAATAGTATTTGTTAACATATCAATTTGACTACGTTGTTCCATAATCAATTTTTCTAGAGTATTTTTCGTAATTAATAAGTTTGTGTTTTCTTTACGCATTTCTTCAATTTCATTCGTCATAGCTTTGACTTCTTCTTTCTTCGAGTCTTCTTTAGCTACCGTATGTTCTTGCTTGTCTTGTAAAACTTTTAATTGTTCTTTTAAATTATTCATAGTTATTTCGTTGGCATTCAAATCAGCACTTTTAGTAGCAAGTAGTTGTTCGAGCGACTCTTTAACTTGTACCAACTCGTTCCTTTGTTTCTCACTTATTTCTAATGCAGATTCTTTAGCCTTAATATCACTTTCCAACTTATTTTGTAATTTAATTATAAAGTCTTCTTTAGTGTCTTGTACATCTTTTATTTTGTCATTTAATTCAGCGAGTATATTGTTCTTAGTTACTATGTCAGATTGCACATTCTTTAATTCTATTTCTACTTGTTTTAAATTATCTTCTAAGCGAGTTTTATCTTCTTCAGTTTTACGAAGCTCATTATCTTTCTCCTTTAGTTTATTTTCTAAGTTATGTAATTTATCGTTAATTTGTATCAGAGAATTTTTCAGCGAATCTGATTCTACAGTTAGCTCTGAAATTTGCGTTTTACGTTGTTCAGCTTCCGCTTGTGCGATAGCCAATTCGTTACTCTTAGTTTCTATATTTTCAGTAGCGACAACTAATTTTTCATTTAAATCTGCGACAGTATTTTCCATACTATTTAATGTGTTAACGGTTTCTTGATTAGTCATTTCTCTATTTAAATTAATCATTTCTTTTTCTCGTCGCAAATCAGAAAGCGCGTCATCCAAAGATTTGATTTTCGAATTCTTTTCCGCAATAATAGAATCAAGTTTAGTACGAGCTTCCGTTTCCGAGTTTAATTTGTCAGTTAATTCTTCGATCGACCAACGACTCGCACTTTGATTAGCTTCCAATTTTACTTTTGCTTTTTGCAAAACTTGTATTTCTTCCTTCGACGCGATTAGTTGCGTCTTCACGTCGTCCAATTGCTTTTGAAGATCCAAAGATTCTCTTTTAAACGACTCCTCTGCAGTTTCATACTCTTTACGAAGAATAACTTTGTCTTCCTCAATTTTCTTCAATTTATCGTTAAGATCGGAAATCAAGTTAGATTTTTCTTTCAAACTTAATTCCGTACTCTTAGCAATTTCTATTTCATTGAGAAGATCATTTTCTTTGGATTCGTGTTTTTTAATCTTCTCCGAAAGTTCAAGGCAAAGTTCTTTCTCTTTGATTAATTGAGATTTAATATTCTCCGTTTCTAAACGCGATTCTTGCAACAGAGAAACATTTTTATTCAATTCCTTTTCTGTATTTTCTAGTTTCCCTTGCGTACTTGTTAAATCTTTTTCCATTTGATACACCTTATCCTGCAATTTATCAATATCTCTTTCTTTTTCCCGCAACTCATCGTTGTATTTCGTTAATTGCTCGGAGGAATTGGCAGAGCTACTTATCAAGTTAGCTATATCTAATTCCTAAATTCAATGGATAACATTTGATTATATTTTTGTTTTTTTTCTCTGATAATACAGCACTTAATATAGTTAATACTAACCAATTTATCTTTTTGGGAAGATACATTAACGAATTTTTCTTCGGCCCTTGCTAATTGTTGATTTAAATTCTCTATATTCGATTCGAATACACGTAGTTCGCTTTCCAAATTCGTTTTAGTTTGCTCGGATAACGTAAGTGCATATTGTAATTCTAAAAAACCAAACAACAGTTAATATTATCATATGTAGGATTATCGTGTAATTGTAAAAGCTCTTCCATTTACTGTCACCTGAATTCTTTTCTACGAGATGTTTTATCTCTTCGTCTTTGCTCTCGACTAAAGATTTCAATTCAGAAATCTCCTTTTCTTTCTTATTGAGTATCATCGTTTTCTGCGACGCGTCTAAATTAATCTCTTCGATGTATTTAGATTTCACATCGATTTCTCCTTGAAATTCTTTCTTTAATTCTTCGATTTGCGTTGTCATAGAAGCTCGAAGTTCCGCAAGTTCTTTGTCTTTTAATTTTAATTCTTCGTTTAATTTTTCTAAGTATGCAGAGGAATCTGTTGCCGTAGCTCTTAACATAGACAAGTCTTCTTCCTAAATAAGAACAAAATAATAACGCAACTAAAATAAATAATAAAATATTCTTTCGATCGATTAAAAATCAAAGAAAAAGGAAAGGAAAAAACATTCATTGAAAATCAAATTGCATTTACCAATTTTTCTTTCTCTTTCATTATCCTGTCCGTATCTTCGGCCGCGTGTTCCTGAATTCGAAGTTGATCCGCGAGCAAAACATTTTTACTTTCGGCTGCTTTCAATTGTACATTCAATTCTGTAAAACGAACGAATCAATTTGATTTCTTAAAGAAAATTCGTATTTACTTATGAAACCTTTTATATTATACCTTCAAGTTTGTGCAAAATATCGTTCAATTCTTTGTCCTTTCTATTATACAAATCTTGCTGATTCGATAACTCGTTCGAGAGTTTTTGGGCTTCAGAAATTTTCTCGTTCAATTGCGAAGATATTTCTTTGAGTTTGGAATCCTTTACATTTAATTGTTTACCAAATGATTCGGAAAGTTCATTAATATGTTTCATATTCTCAGCCTTCAAATTTTCCAACACGTTGCTCTGACTTTCCAAATGTTTTTGAGACTCGCTAGTCAATTGTTGCGATTTCATTTCTATCTGTTTGTTTTTATCTTCAACAATTTTCTCATATTCCACAATCAACGATTGTTTCTCGGTCGCGTGTTTCTCGTTAACATCCTCGATCCTTTTCTTCATCTCCGTTAATTCTTTCTTCAACGCATTCGTATTGATCTCAAACTCTTGCCTCATGTTTTCGATGTACATTAATTTCTCTCGAAGGGTTTCCTTGGTTTCTTTCAAATTATTTTGAAGATCGTTTTCGACTTGTTTCTTCAAATTACCTTCCTCTTCCTTTTCCTTCAATTTTACTTCAAGATTTTTCATTGATTCAAGATATTCTTCTACCAGAACAGTTTTTTCGTTGACTTGTTTTTCCAACGCATCTTTCGTTTCCTTCAAATTTTCGTTCCGATTACGTAGATCTACGTGGAAAAGATTTTCATGTTATATGTGATATCTTTCTTTCGTTTTTGTTTTTTTAATTATTTATTCATACCTTCGAATTCTATTTTGTCTTGATTACTTGTTTGACAACTACGTAAACGCGCAAGTTCTTCCTCAGCTTCGAATAATTTCGTACTGTCACGTTCAAGCTGTATAACCCGTTCCCTTTCCTCCGAAAGTAGTTTCTCGAGTTCCTTGATTCTGTTTTCATTTACTGTATTTATTACCTAATGGGAAATACATATTTTCTTTTTACATCACGGAGAATCTAATCGTCGTGTAGTAAAATCGTAGATTATAATATCGAGAAGCACACTCAAAACTATACGAAAAGCTATGTTGTTCCATCCGTATATACGAATTTTTCTATAAGACTTTTAGAAATTTTGATAATCAATTTTTAATGAAAAATAAATCAAACAAACATATAAATGAACGAAGATGTATGTATGTACAAAGCAATAAAAAGAAATAAGAGAGAATAATGTAATTAATTGAACGACATTTTATAATCAATGAAAAATATGTTATTTAACAATGACTCTTTGTAATTAACAGTAATACATATGTGTGTGAGTGTATTTGTATTTGCGTGTAAATGTGCGTATTTGCGAGGGAATGTAAATGAACGCAACAACTCATAGAACCAATTAAAAAAATAAATAAATTAATAAATAAATAAAAAAGTGAATAATAATACTGCACGGTGGTGATACAACGAGAGAAAAATGAATAAATAATATAAGAAATGAACGGTTACATTACTTTGCGGTATCTTCGATATCGTCGATCCTCGACACAATCTCTGATATAATAATTGTTAACAATATTTCATATTATTTGCGCAAAGCATTAAACGTATATAGCATAAATTAAATTAAATTAACATTTAATAGGCGTTGCAAAGCAAAGTATTGTTTATAGATTATTATAAAAAATAATAGTTAATTCCTTTACTACAAATCTAAGAGATTCGACGAAATTTTAATTGTTGAATACATTTTTTTGTGCCTTTTGTTTTTTCTTTTTTTCTTTTCTTTTCATTTTCTTTTTTAAATAAGTTAATTAAACGCAATAATTGTTTCAACGAAACTCTTTCGTTTTTTGGAGAGCAGCCGTTAATGATAATTATACAATTAAACATGAATTATAACGATCTAAGCGTTACTTTGATTTCGCGAATTAAACAATGAGAGAAACTGAGACAAAAAAGGACAGAAATGTAAATAGATAGGGAGAGAAAAAGAATAAGTAAATAAATTGAGAAAGAAAGAGAAAAAGGAGGATAAAGAGTTCTCGTTAGATATGATTTCGAATGCTATGGGACACGACAAGAGTGATAATAATACAAGCGGTGCAGAGACACAGCATGAACCCCTCTTCTGATTCAAATGGCTGCCGATGCATACTCACACTTTGATCACTTCTCTCTTTCTGAAAATAAACCATAAGTTTTCTGTGTTAAAGCCAATGATGCATTGATCGTTTTTTCGTTTCCTACGAAGAAGCACAACAAAAGTTCTATTTAAATGGACAATTTTTCTTGTTGTTTTAAACCAAATTTTTAATATATTTTTTAAAAGTTCTAATCTTTATTTTTTTGTGTGTCTCCATTCGCAAACCCAACACCGATTTTACAATCCCAACGAAGCTGTCAAATTCTATACACCAAGCTTTTACCAATATCCCATAACCATTCATACAAAAATGTATTTGATTTTTCTAAATATGATAATATGATTAGAAGAAATTAAATTATCATCGTATATGCGTGTGTTTAGAAAATATCCAAAATAAAATATATATATATATGTAGGATATTTTTCGTAGCCCCACTCTTATTCGACTTTTATTTCCTCTTTATTCCTTTTTTTTATATCGCCGTTTCTCGTATTCTCCCACATCCACGCTAAACACACGCATGTACCCATACTCTCTCATTTCTCCGCACCGTAACAACAGAGGAGAAAATTTCTTATAGCTCTACCTACCAGAAAAACATCTTTACTTATTCTAGAAATATTAATGTATATATTTAATAATGATCGTTCTCGAACATTCATATCGTAGCGTTACTTCCCTTTATATTTATCCACACTTTTACTTATGAATTTTCTCCAATATCCCACATATATATTATTTATTATTAAACTCACCGGAAAATTATTTAGGAGCAATGAGTCTCCTTTTTCTTTTTTTCATTTCAAATACATATGTATATTATATTATCAATATTCGTAAAATATAAGATAATCATTTCTTTTTTTCTCTTCGTCGTCCTAATTAATTTCACGGATATAATTTTTCTCGAAACTTACTTGTATGTCATCTTTATTGACGGATTCTTCCTCAAAACGGAAGAGAAGGTCCTCGCATTTTCTTCTTTCCTCTTCTAACTGTATTGCCAAAGTGTTCTTCTCTTCTAAAATTTTGTTAAGGGCCATTTCCACATTGAGAACGGTCTTTTCCATCTCCTCGCGATACTACAATTTTAAATATCATTTCTTTTTCTTACCAATTGAAAATATGTAAATAATGAATAATTTAATTATCTATGATCTTTCTCTACCTTATCATATTCTTGTTTAATTAAGATCACAGATTGTTCCGCTTGATCAGCCTGATTAGCAGCTTTCGTGACACGATCCCTTTCCAAATCTCGTTCTCTTCGAAGAAATTCAATTTCCTGTTGTTTCTCCTTTAACATTTCCTAAAATGGATATATTTTATTCTAGATTACGACCTACTTGTAATTCATTCAAATTTTAAATAATCCTATTTACAAAAGCTCGCTATATAGCATTTGAATATAAATATTGTTAATTGCAATACGCAGAATTTAAATGAAATTGCATATATTCGTATACACACATTTTTTACACGTACATTTCATTAATGCATTTATAAATATATGTATACGTAAATCTAATAAAAATGCTATGCTTGTTTTGAGTCATTAACATAGATTTAGAAACATGATTCATTAATAATAATTGTTTTAATTCTAATCTCATTAATATGTAAGCCAATGTTTATGTTTGATACGCATAAGTTTACGTAACAACGTAACATTCGTTCTGTCTCTCTCTCTCTCTCTCTCTCTCTTTCTTCTCGAGAAAAAAAGAGAGAGAGAGCTCGTCTAACTTTGTCTAATCGCATTTAAACTCACAGCCATCCTTTGTTATTGGCAAATCCTTGTACTACTAAATAACCGGTTTCAAACTAATACAACTAAAACAATGCCCCTGCATATATATATATATATATGTAAGCATGTATGTACGTGTATGTGCATAAGCATCGTATTAATATTCTTCTATCATCACGTATGTCTAACAAAGTGTCTAAATCAAACGCATACGTGTTTAAATTCCCGATATGCATTTGCTATTAACAAAAAACGCAGAATATACTCACCTCAATTGAAAAAATGTAATTCTATCGAGGACGAGAAAAAGGATAGAAAGAAAAGCCGAAAGGATTTTATTGAAAGGTATACGTGTAATACAATTATTTTTTTTCTCTAAAAACGATTTTTCTAATTTGCTTCTTTTTTTTTAATCTAAGAGACTTTGTTCTTTGATGTTTAGACAATAAATTAATTTTTACTACGAGTGAGATAAAACTATTTACATACCCACAGAATTAGATTTGTTGTTCAACTATCTACAAAATGAATAAATAATAAATACAATAAACGTGTATTATATGTTTCATTATGTACATTAAAAAGGCAGCTTCTAATCGCTAAAAGTATCTAATCGTTTTAGATCAACTATCGAGATTACGATTATGCTAGTTTCATAAGTAAGATTATCACAAGGCGCTCTTTATTAATTGTATTCTACTACAAATTCTACCGAATACCATCATAATATGCTCGGTTATTATTAGATTGTTTTTTTTTGCTTTTGCTTAAAACTAATTCATTCTCATTACATGTCATTAATATGCTACTAATCGTGTTCTCACCTGCAATGAACTTTGAATGGGTGTCGACGTGCGCATACCAGGCCGCTGGAATATTGTATGCAACAAAAATTCAATCATGCACTTCGGACAACAATACATAAACACTCTTCTTTTGTTGAAACAAAATATGGGGAGAAACATAAATAATAAGTTAACAACTAAATCTATCATTAGCGTATCACTAAAACAGAGATTCGAATTTTGTCGATGACAAATGTGTCCCGATTATAATTCAACGATTATTATACTTATTAATTTGTGTCTAAAATATTCACATATATGTATTAGGTAAATTAGAACATCAATTTTGTAGATACGAGTACTCGAGACTATGTCATTCAACAAAAACCGAAGCAAACGATATTAATCCTCTATTTCAAGAAGAAGAAATAGGATTAACATGACTAATAGCAATTGAAAGTAACAATAAGAGGAAAAAGGACGGATTTATATATATAAAAGGTACTCCAAAATTCTTAGCGAAGTAAAATAAGGGGTGGGAATAGGCTAGAATGATAAAAGAAAAGATGCAATAGCATCTGTGTGCGTTGCCGTGGCAAAGGACTTCGTGCAAAAGCTTCATCATACTTTTCTCTCTTTTTGTAATCTTATCGTTGCTGTCCTCGTTGTCGTCGTTTAATTTTATTGTTTTATTGTTTTTTAGTGTTTCTCTTTTTAGCGACAAATTTGTCACTCTGGCATCTTGAATCTTACCCTCGTAGCGCCTGTAGAAATTTTCGAGCCAACAATACTGCTGTTAACGCTGGAAATCGAGACTAGTGACTCTCGAGAATTTGTCCTCTTCAAAGTCGAGTTAAGTGCAGCACCGGACGGCCTGTGAACCACGCAGGATGTTCTTTTGTTCAAGGGTGACTTACTGACCTTATGCATTGGTGCAAACAGGCCGTATTTCGGTCGACATTCGAAGTACCTACGTTCAAATATATTACACATGGTCATCGTCATCCTCATCGTATCCTACCCTATCTTTATTTTCATTCTACTTATTTATTTCTTCTTAAAAAAAAAAAAAATAAAAAACTATTAACTAAACTATGGTAACAATACTACTATGCACATTTAAAACGATAAAGAAAAATTCATTCGATGCCTTCTCAAATTCTGAAACCCTTATCGATTTTGTTTTAACTCTTTCTTAACTAGCGACCCATATAAAGTTTCCGTATGAACAACTGACCCTTGTATGGGGGTCGTGCTATACACATGCTAATGCGAAACAAGAGGGGATAAATAAATTTATTAATCGATGAAGGCTTGAAGGAATTTCTAAGATAATAAAAAAAAGATGAAGAAATAAAGTAGACGAATGATATCGAAAAAGTAATCGAATATTTAGCCGACCTTTGATCATTGACAGAACCATCATTTTTCCCAAGAGGTTCATCCAATTCGATTCCACACCATTCTCCAGACGCAAACTCTGTTATTCCCATATAACGAAGTACTCCTGTTTTGCTGCCCTGACTGGAGGATACTATGACCCTTTCACCTATTTTCAGATCCCTTTGCGACACCGTCGACGAAAGGCTGGTCGTCGATGCGTCTGCGTATATTTGCGTTAGGTAATATTTATATATTTACACGAATTAAATACAATTTTAGTCTTTTTTTGTTTGTTTGTTTAAAAAAAGGGACATCTATACATAATGCGTAATGTTTTAAGCTAATGTCACGTAATCTGCTCTCATACATGTATTTGAAATAATACATTCATTCTTAATATATTTATTTCTGAAACTTGTTAAAAACGTAATAGGGAAAAATAAATGTTAAATATGTTCGAGTTGATATGAAAGAAAAAATATAAATAATAATGTCAAATTTAAACATAGCACGTAGCAAGACAGCTAAATTTGCAGACAACTGCAAATTGCTAAATGGCAAGGCAGCAGTTATATCGTAATATCTAAACTAACTGCATGTATTCTACATTAATGTACTGAGACAGATCGTCTACTTAATATTATGATTTTCATTTAAACAAAATATAAAACAAAAAAGTAGCACTTTGAAATAAAAATAATGCTTAATGAGTGGCTTTCGTGATATATAATATTGGTTGATCAAGCAAAAAGGATCATAGAAAGATGAAGGACAGCAATAAAATAAAATCTTAGGCGTGCGACGAATATTTGTGGCATCGATCCTTACTCAAAGAGGGTGAAATGGACTTGATCAAACATCCCCTTGTACTGTCTGGTGGAGTCGTAGGAGTTCTTAGAATCGGTGACGATGATGATTCTGGCAAAGGTTGTCTGGTCAATCTCGTTAAGCGTGAGAAAATGCCACGTTTAGGTTCGCATTGAAAATATCGACAGCCGGCAACAGACCCATCGTTCTTTCCTAAAGTATCCAATTAAATAGATTTTGTCTCATCATCGTTATCGTCATTATCATCATCTTCTGTTTCTTCTTTTGTTCTTACCAATGGGCTCGTCGAGTACCACACCAGCCCAATCTCCCGGAGCAAATTGTGTTTCGCCGATGTAAGCTATTGAACCGGGCTTCGTGCCACCAACCCATACTCGATCTCCTATTATGAAGCTGTCCGTGTCCTCCGTCAATACGACACTAGTATCTATTATACAAGATTTCATTCTATATAGCATTTCCCTCATTTTCCTCATTTTCTAACCAATTACTTCAAATCACGCACGCGTCTTTGATAATCATTCAAGTATACGCATTTGTCGTGCGACAAAAAAAGTACACTTTACTTTCTATTTACTTGGTCAATATTTTGTAAAATAAAAACGAACAGGTTTGTTGAATATTTTTTTTATTATAAATACTGACCACGTAAATAGCAGAGTTTTTAGAGAACTGTGAATTTATTGAACAGTCAACATTGATGAACCCCACACTTTTAAGAATAGAATAATTTCGATATAAAAAAAAAAAGGACACAAAGAAAAGAAATCTACAAAGCCAACCTACCTGATCCTCTGCGCAATCCAGCCTCACTTAATTTACGGCCATGCGCTTCCCAGAGGTGATCCATGCTGTCTGTGGTAGTTGCCATGCAAAATAATGCAAAACATACTCAAAACGACAAACTACATGCGCCCCCGGACGTGTAACACGAAGCCATAGAATTTTATTCCAACCTTAATTCGATTGATTTCTTTTTTCTTTTTTTGTCAACCCTTAAATGTGTATGATTTGTGTGTGTGTGTGTTCATAGAATTTCAATGGAGAAAAAAAACTAAATGAAATATCAAATGTATTCTTAAATCTAGAACCATAACAATGTATTCATTTGAAAGTTAATTAGCCAATCGGCGAGTAATTTCCTTCTAATCGATCTAATCTTTTCTCTGCTCCGCTACTTGCATCCGTTCGCTGATCTTTAATTGTCAAAGCAACGAATCTACAAACGGAAATTGAACGAGCAAGAGAATCCTTATACGAGTCTCGTTACGCAAAAGGACGATATATGTATATCTTGGACGATATAGAAAGTATGCGTGTAGTATGTCTATGATCGATTCGATAATCGATTAATTTCGAACGTACGTTTAATAGACCGGGACGTATAACCATTTAACACCGCCTGGCAATATTATTATGCGAATGGAATACAATATGATGTCTTACTGTTTACATTTCCTGTCGAACCATACTAAACATTATAATGATATATCGTTAATGATTTATGTAATAATGACAACCGATTTATCGTCCGATCGATAATTAAAAATTAATAATTAAGAATACATGCTACGATAACGATACGCGCTATTAATTTTTATAATAAATTATTTATATTATGCCTATAATTATACCGATTAAAAATATTGTATAGAATGAAAGATTTTGAAATTCTAATTTCTGGTAGAAGAAGAGACGTTCCTTTTAATTTCCAACTTTTGTATCGGAAAAAAAATCCAGAAAAGGAATCGCTGGTATGTCCGGGTCTATCTCTATTCGATATCGAATGAATTATTTATGAGTACTCGTGGGAGTAGAAATAATATACTAACATAAGATCAGATCTACTATAAATCGTCGTAGTAGTAATCGCATAAACGCACTTGCGTAGGACGGCGCCTATGTTCAACGAGATTATTTCACGATTACGAACGGATAAACACGGTGATGTACGTGAGATTCTCGACATCTTGGCATAACAACGATTTTCTTTATTTCGTGATCGAGACTTCTAAGAATGAGAGATGACGTTCGCTTGATAACGCGTTAGATGAAAATTATTCGATTATTCTAATTGAATTTTTTCATTTCAACAAAAAAATAAATATGATGATGATGATGTCAAATGAAAGAGGAACTTCTTTCGATTATTGTATCGAACGATGTTTTAAAATGCCAAGAAAAGTATTATAAAACCGGCTCTATAATAAATTCACACTTGGATAAATATTAACGAAGACTAAAACGACCAACAACCAAGGGACACGGTCATAAACCGTTAATCTTTCCATATTTAGACGGTGGTGTCATAGTTACGGAACACCATGGAGTAGAATGTTGATTACATCACGACTACTACCGCGAACGATTTTAATCTTTCGAGGAAATGTCCAGAAATTGAAGGAAAACTTGTATCATTTCCTATCGTTTTTAATCGATCAAACAAAATTTGAAAGAAAATCAATTTATTTCATTTATTAAAATGCAACGATTATAATTTTTAATCTCATCCGAAGTATCGAATTGAAACGGCGCTGCGTTGAAATAAAGTAAATAAAAAAAGAATAAAGTAAAATCGATCCGGTTTGAAAGGATAAAATGGAAAATGAATTTTATCATTGCCTTGAGTTTCCCTATCGCGTTGCGAAATATGAACCAAACGCGATGGGAGAGATGCCATTTCGTGATTACGAGAAAGAGACGAAGATAAATAAAAAGTGGAAGAGCAATGAAAAAAATAACAAGAAAGATGAAACGAATGCTTCGAAATCGAAACTACAATGTGAACACGTATAATGAACAAGACGGATTGCATAAGCAAATGCATATATGTATGCATGTATTATGCGTCATGATCGAGAAAAAGTAAGCGTGTATTCGTTAGTTTGTTCTTCATTCTTCTTATTCGCTTCTTCGCCCCTTAGGCTACCTACTTGGACATGATTCTCAGCTAAGGAAACCTCTGGACATGATCGAATAAGGCGAGATACGTGCCCTCGATGCAACTCTCTTCACTGCGATTCTTTTAACACGTCTCTTGCATACAATCGTTAAAGTCTCGCGAATCTTCTTACCTCATCCTACTTTTTTTTTCAAACTCATTCAACAATTGTAAATAAAATCAAGAATTTTTATATTTATATATTCTTCTTTGAAATTTGATTGAGATCTGATTATGTTTTAATTCATTTTTAAATTGTATATGTTAAGGCTTTGATCTATGAGATCTTAGAAGCCTTTTTGTTTTAATTACATTATTTCTAATGTCTATGATCCTCTATGAAAATATTAAGACATTCCTGTGACTCGTGAAAGTCTGCAAATATTATTTTAATTCAAGTCCATCTCTAATGTATACCCTACATGTTAAGAAAATAAATAGAACGATATTATTTCAAATGTTACACGAAATACTACCGTAAAATATCACTTTAAGATCGTAGCCAAGAAAAATAATGAATACACACTCACTTTCGATGATTAGGAACTCGTTTGAACAACCGGTTGAAAATCGTGTTAAGTTTCGGAATCGTTCGAGTATGACAATATTTTTTTTTTTTTAATTCAATTACAGTATGCAAAATAAATTTCTAAAAAAAAGAAAAGAAAAGAAACCCAAAGTTGTTCTCGCTTAACAAGATTTTCACCAGAATGAAAATCGTACTTGCAGTTTAAATAGATCGATCAGGAACAATATTAAGCAGGCCTATTCAGGTGAGATGCGTCGCGTTGAGAGGTGGAAGAACGACTTACAAGAAGCTCGCGTGTTCGAACTCGTAAGAGCATTCGTTCAGGTTCGTTTCAGGGTCTCGCAAGCGTGTATCGTATTCTCGTACGTAAGCTGACGTAGTAGATTGGTGATCTGTTCTCGTTACCTTGTAAATGGAGACTGACAAAAGCGATATTATATGGATACGAGTATAGTAATTCATCGAAACGACTAATCCTATATGTCTCCATGCTATTTTTCTATATTTTCATTATAAAGTAACTGCAGTTTCGTATTACATTGTATATACAATGTATGGTCTTTTTGTATGTATATACAGACAGCTTGGCAACCCTTTTTCTTAAAGCATAATTCTATTGTGCTAACTACTCATTTTCTTTAGGCGTGTGTATAAATATACAACATATACCTACATTATATAAATATTTAAGTATCTAAAATAAAAGAAAAACATTTTTGATAAAATATGGTGACATAGAAAGAAAGAAAGAAAAGAGAAGAAAACCTAATAATATCGAGTGAAATATGAAAGAAATAAACTGCGATACACACGAACATGCAAAAGAATAATCATTTTTTCCTCTGTTTTTTTTTAATTATTACTTACTGCCTGATGCTTTTGGCGATGACGGAGGAATAGATGGTCTCGGTGGCAGTGTACAACATGGTCTACCAATTTTCGAAGGTGGTCTTATGCCCGATGGCTTTGCTTCCGTCATTTTTGGATATTTCACTTATTCGTGCACTGAAATAAACACACAATCAACTAATTAGTTCGATTTTATACAAGGGAAATGTTTTGCGGATGAGTGTATGTTTGTAACATTTTAAAGGAAGATTTAAATTTTGCCGCCATAATTTTTCGTTTACCAACAAATGCAAACCAACATTGATATTATTTTTTTCACCGAAAGATGACGCACAAATACAATTCAACGTTGATGAGCGCATAATATATAGAATGTTCTATCTAAATTCAGAAAGCTGAGTAACTTTAAGCGATAAATTAAATTGCGAAATATTACTATTTTACTTTTTATTTTACGAATATAATAATAACCGTTTTGTCACAAATATAATTGATTATTATGTATAAACATATAATTATCGGTGTCTAATGAAATGTTATACGTGCAAATTTCATAACGTATAAAACATTTTAATTAAATTCTTATTAACACCGAAAATTTACAACCTTTCGATACGAAATATTAGAAATTTAGATCAATTTCTCTGAAACATACAAATAAGAATATTGAAAAAAAAGAAAAAATGTTCTTCGCATGGTGGTTAACCTCAATTATGTTGATTATTAGTTTAGGGTTGTTGATAAAAATGTATCCTCACCTTAATTAACACTGCAGAGTATAATTATATATTATTTGTTGGCACTTTCCATTTAGAACAATCACATTAATCACACTGCCGTTATCTCGGTGAAACGGCGCGACGAAATTCTCTTTGATACTCAATTCGCGATCAACGGAAAAGTGAAGTTAGATGACAACCACTATCGTAAACAAGTGGGAACTTGGATACAGCGCTCATATGGTCAACTATTGAATTAATTTACGAATCCTTATTTCCACTCCTTTTGAAAATGTAATTGTTGTAAAACAAGATCGTTTAACAGTATTTATCTTTCAGTACCTATAAGAATATTAAATTACAATAAAATTAATCTGCTGATAAAGATATGTACACATTTCGATTATTTCAAATTTAGTTTGGTTATAAACAAACGAATTATCGTAGAATTTTTATAAATATTATTAGAATTTTCTATTATATGAATTACTGCTAATATTCACCTTAATTAAAATATATTCAATGAGAGAAATAAATGTAGAAAAATAAAACGTAGAATACTGCGTAAGAGGCGTCTTCTTTCTTATTTTTATCATGCTTCTAATTGGTTTTTGATACCACTCGCTGATTGGCTCCTCCGTTTCAACCTCTCCCACTTCCCAATGAAAATGTCTCGTATCTGTAAGCAATATGTAACAAATTAATACATTGTTTAAATAAATATAAAACAATGATAATTATTAATTGTATTAATAAAAAAATGTTATTTTAGAGACAGCTGAAGTAATGTGTGTTCGGCTTAAGGAAGAGCTCAATGTTGACACGTATGTCTACTTCCGTTTATCTATTATTCTTACGAAATAATTATTACCTGAAGTGGTGACTGTCTTATATACATTTTCCAAGAAAAATCATTTAAATTTACAAACAAGATATTATTAGATTCGTCAAGTGTTTTAATTAAAAGTAAACTCCGATTTAATCGCTAAACAATGGATTTGTCAAGTGTACCACTCACCGCATTGTCTCTAAGAACTAAAAATGCTATTTCTAATCTGTTAAATCCAACAAAATTTATTCCAAGTGATAATGGTTTACCAAGGTAATTTTTATATTATTTTCACTCTGTTCTTGTTTTGTAAAAAAGAAAGAAACATTTATAATGTGAAAGAGATATGTCAATGTCATTAATTAGATCATTTTGTTATTACAGAGATTGGAGGGGCCTCGCTCACTTGGCAAATATAGAAGGTGAACTGCTTCCTCTTGTGTCATCGCATTCTGATCCAACTGCATTTATTCTAAATGCTATAGCGCAAAAGAAAAATGATAACAACATAGCAAATTTTCAATGTATGTTATCTATACTTGAAAGGTGGGATATTATTGATGATATTCAAGAATTCATCGGTTGGTAACTTTTGTCCTGTGTTCTTATTTCATGTTACATTGTATGTATACTGTTACATAAAATCAATATTACAGAAGAAGACACTGACAAATATTTAAAGAGTATACAAAATTCTCAGACGACAGCTGAAGCGATAGAAGAAACCATTGATTCTAAAATAATTACAGTAGGTTGGTATCAAAATGACATAACATCTATTTTCATAATATGTTCTGTTATCTTATCAATTATTTTATATTTAACAGATGATCTACATAGAATTAGACAAGGTTTGGAAAATCAGAGATACGATGCACTTGTTTTGTATGCAGATGAAGATGTCGACTTTGCCTATGAAATGATTAAAAAGCTTGAAAATCTCGATATAAAAGTGAGGATAATTGATTAGTAAAAATAAAAATTGTATTACAATATCAAACGATATTATAATCTTTGTGTGAAATATTTTTTATAGCTTTGTATAAAAGATCGAGATCTAATCGGAGGAATTAGTTTTGAACACGAGGCTGTGATGACTCTTATATCGGAGCGTTGCAATAGAATGATCATAATAATCTCTCCTAATTTTTTTAAGAGCTCTGCAAACCAATTTTTTATGAACTATGCTCAAGCTGTAAGCATTGGTATGTATCAAAAGTTTAAATATATTTATATAAACAAGTGTTACTATATGTATTAATATATATTCGAATTTTTATAAATCGTTTCTTTGCAGATAAGCGTCAGAGAAAAATTATACCCTGCATGTACAAAAAATGTGTATTACCGCCTCAGCTAAGCTATATGTTTGTTCTTGATTATACCAAAGTCGGCTTATATGATTTTTGGGGAAGATTAAGAGATTCTATTCAAGTTTCAAATAAATTACAAAGTGGAAATGTGGAAGAAACTAAAAATGAAAATCACGTAACTACATGTTTGTCATCTTCCAATAATTTAAATAATTCCATCAAGGTTCCAAATAAATTAAACGATGGAGATACGAAGGAAACTACATCTTATATTCCAGCTCTGAATAAATTAAATAATTCCATTCAAGTTGCGGAAAAATTAAATTATGGTTATATGAAGGAAAGTAAGGAAGAAAACCAGGAAACTATTCCATATTTGCCATCTCTTAATAATTTAGATACATTAAGTATTACGATAGATACGACAGAAGTGAGCAAAAAGAAATCTAAAGAAAAAAAGGCTAGTGGAAAGAAATCGAAACATTTGAACATATTCAAAAAAATTCTACTAAAATCATGAGAGATTAAATATTTCTCGATAATTGTATAAAACTTCGTTTATAGTGTACATATGTAAATACTTGAATTTGTGACTATGTATGTAACATATACAGAATGATTCACTTAACTTGGATCCTGGATCAAGTATCTTATGCTCCCTTCGACGATGGGTTACGGTGTAAATAACAAATAGTTTTCTATAATTTTTATATTTCAATTTGAGATATCTTATATTCCTATATAAATCTCTATATATCTATATTTATGTAGCAGATTTATATAGTTTTATATTCATAGTGAATTAATATTAATTATTAAAATGTAAATTTTAATATATAATAAAATTAAAAACTATTAAATCTAACATATATATTTAATTGATATGATATTATATAATTAAACGAAGAAACGCTTTATTAAAATTTATTCGAAAAAAACATGAAAAGAAAAAAAAGATATATATAAATATAAATTTAGTATATGTTAGTTTAACTTGACAAAACTTTGGTAAATTATATATAATGCATTATAAATGCATAAATGCAACATATACCGAAACTTTACGAATAATATATATGTATATATTTTAAATTAGATTGACTGTAAAATAAAAATGTAAACATATGTATAAAAAAACAAAGAAAAAGAAAAAAAATGATGTCAAAACAATAAAACAATCTCGCAAACTACCGTTAAAGTTGTCACCTTTATTTTCAAAGTTAGCTGCATTTAAAACAACCTTTATATTTTATTATAATATTGCTCGTTACACGAGTACGGTTGATAATAAAAAAAAAAGATATAACTGTTCTATAGAAAATAGTATTACAAATTAAAATATTATCTAATTACAAGTTTTAAGTGTTTCTTTTTATAATACAATTCATTAATGAAATATAAAATAAGGCACCTGAAACAAGTAGACCATTATTTGTGTTTGTATCTCTTCGAAATAAAGAAGATAAAAAATCTCAAGAATTTTTCTGGTCTCGCTTCGATTTCTACAAAGACACATTAATCTTAGGCACAACATTATACTTTCATGCTGTCTGTCATTATACACGAAGTTTAGTTTCATCTTTTCAACGCGTATTCATATTTCCATCAGTAAAACACAAACGTACAGGAAATTTCGTACATATATATCATTTTTTTTTGTTCACTTTTTCTTTTTATCTTTAAATATACTCTCTATACACATAAATCGTTTTTTAACAACTAGTACTGTTCTGATGGAAATATGAATAAAAAATATATAACATCGCGGTGTGGTATCATCGAAAAAGAAAAGAAGAAAAAGAAATATTGTAAAATTATTTAATAAAAGTCTTGATATCACTGCGAACTATTAACGCGCGAAGGTCGCGGTATTTATTACCTCTTAATAAAAGACCGCACCTTATTAACGCATTTGTCCATAAAATTTCTTTTTCTCTTTGGCTCAGCTCCTGCCGGCAAAGATAGCAACGAGCCTTGTTCCTTTATTTCAGCTTTGTAATCGTTGGACGAAGCACTTTCGTTCGAATCTAATCCCGCGCCACAGCTCTTTGCTTTTAGCAACGTTGATTTATCTTTTACTATCGTCATAAGTCTTTCCTGTATTGGTTCTACACTATTATCACAAAGCTCAATGGTTTGCTGCCTGTTTTGAGAATTTGTCACCTCGCGATCGTCCCTTAAATTCGACGATTCGATCTCGCCGTCTGCACTCGTGCATCTATTAAATTGTTTAGGCAACAACATCGTTGAATCGTCTTCTTTGTCGTTCCTTTTTTCCGAGGACGAAACTCTCTGATTCTTCTCTTCCTTGGACACTTTAGAAATTTCCAACAGAGAGCTAGACATTTTTGTTTTTAAACGTGGAACAGGTAATGGTAAATTTTTATTATCCTTTGCCTGTTCAAAACTGTTAGACTGTTCGGATTGTTGTTGAGTTTTGCGAGATATGTCCAAATGTTCATCTCTAGTTGATTCTAGACTTGGTGTTTGATTGGTGTCATTAGAGCTACCTAGATTTTCGTTGTCAACTTCATCATGTTTATTCTCTTCCCCCTTATCCAATTCTTCAGTCTTTAAGTGTGAAACTACGTCATCCTCGTCCAAAAGCCCATCCAAACTTTTGGATCTTGGCCTTGGCACTGGTTCAGGTTTAGCAACTGGCAAGATTGATTTCTTCTCATCTTGATCTAAGAGTTCTAATGATCGAGATCGCGTAGATGGAGAAGGTGGATGTCGCGGAGGTCTTCGTGGTACTGGACTTCCTCCAGGATGCGTGTGGACGAATTTCAATCGAGGTGACGTTGGTGGTAAACCCATTAACCAACGGGACGGACTCGACGATTTTCTAAATCTAGGATCAAAGTAATCTTTGATTATCATCTCAATTGGATCATCATTATTATTATTATTATTACTAAACGAGATACATTTAAGCAACATTGGTTCTTTACAGAGATACAATTACTAAATATAAAAGATAATGAAATATTGACGCGTTTGTGCATCGAAAAGAGAAGAACAATAACAGCCAACAATGAACATAATTCAACATTGAATTTTACAATTCAATTTGTATCTTACAAATTCATTGTGCACGATGCGATACGAGCTTGATTGCAAACAAAATGTGCCATCAACAGGAGAGCATTATTATATAATATAATCTGAGTAATATTTAATT